CCCCAGTCATTTGGGAAAACTATACTTTTAAGTAATATAAATCATAGAAAGCATGGTTTGCCTTAATTATTGCAGAAGCTGCTTTATAGGTGACCACATTTTGTTTTGACATGGCAACCCAATTTTCGAGGGTGACCTTTCTTACGCCTAAATGTAGCCACACATCAAAATGGAAGTCAGTACCTCACAAATTTTCCAAGGTATCATGCTCACAACATGAAATGACGGGCGGTATTTCTAATTCCCTTTCTTCGCTCCGTGACGGGAGACAGCTGGCAGGAAGTTGAACCTGTGACTTGTGTCTGCCCTGCCACTACACCACAGCGCCCCCCCCAACAAAATAAAGCAAAGCCAATAAAGTTTTGGAGATTTGAAGGATTTCTGCATGCATATGCAGCGAGGTAGAATGTAGCTTTATTTATCCGACTTTGTTTTGTTGAGAATACAAGAAGAACATGATAAATTGTGAGAACAACTGGAGAAGGTTCCGTTTTCTAAAGTTTCAATTTAATCTACAAAAACGGCATAACGAGCGGAAAAACAAGCAAAGCTCGTGTTTTTCATAAAGTCAGAAACAAACATGCTGTGTCCTGACCAATTTAATTTATCACACGTTCTGCTCAACACAAACTGCAGAAAGCTTCCTGGAGGCTGGACCTGAAGGGCTTCGGCAATCTTCTCTTATTGTGAAGCTCTTATGATATAATCCAGAGCGGTTAGATCAAGTGATGGTGTTTGCAGAGTCTGGGCTTCTATTGTGAGGAACAAAACAACTAACAGGTGTGGAAGAAAAACACAAAATAGCTGTGGGTGCAAACTGATTCTGTAGAATCACAAAACACTTTCCTAACACGAGACACAAACACAACCTGGAACTGGTTCCTGTTTAACGAAGAGAGGAAACACGATGGAGTTTGTCTGCCCTGTTAATAACGTATCGTCTTAAACGTATCTGCTTCAAAGACCTACTCCAGTAGATGAAATCATACTCGTGTAACTAGATGCTGAGACGTGTCTAAAGACAGTACGGTAGTCCCTCGCTACTTCACGCTTCGTTTATCGCGGTTTTTCAAAATAAGATTGGACATGACACACAACTGGCTGATTGATGGATGAGCCGCACGATCGGCATGGGATTTTTATTTAAAATCATTTAAAATTATTTAGCCCCTGCTGCACCTTTGTGCAGCCCACGGCTGAAGGAGAAACTTCTGCCGCGGAGAAGTGGGCGTGGCCAAGAGCAGCTGTGGCAGAGAGGAGGAAATCATGACATCCTGTGCACCTTTAGAGCATTTAATTCAATTCAGTTTATTTATATAGCGACAAGCCACAACAGATTAGAAACATTGTTAAAAATATTGTAAGAGGGTTTAAAATGCCTTTACATAAAAACTAAAATAAACTACAACTTACTACTTGTACTACTA